AAGATCACCTGCAAAGTAGTAATTATAGTGAAAAAGGAAAATACAAAACTTTGTTGCAAAGGAGTGAAAATAGAAATTGATGACACTCGACCTTTTTATAGGTAACCATGGGGTGTAGATCTAAAGCCAAAAATTAATAACTAGAATGAGTGATTAATGGATCAAGATTAACCTCAATTCTATAGTAGCATTTGAATGCGCTCAAGTGCTATAACAGCATCACCACCCCTACCCTCTAAGTAGGCATGGCAATGGGGCGAGGGGTTTTACGATTACCGGGCCCCACCCCTGTCTTTCAACATCAGCCCCTCCCTCACCCCCAAACCCAATTGAAGGTAAATATTGACCACCCAATCCTGCACCTAACAGGGAACAAATTTCCTCGTCTGCCCCGCTCTCACCTGCATAATATTTTTAATGTATGTTTTTTTATAACAACAAAAATTGATAATTAAACTAAATGTTTGATAATTTTTAAGAAAAATCATAATAGTTTGTCATTTTCATTTTAATTTTAATTTGTATTTTAAAAAAATGAATAATATTCTAATAAAACTGATAGCTTAAGATTCAACAAAACCGACCTAATACGAGAGGACTCAATTCAGTACACTCCCATATTAAATCAATAAACAGGTGGACTCTCTTCAAGATGACGCATATCGAAGGCAAGCCACTTGTTCATCTTAAGTTGTTAGATCCAATTCAACGATCTTCCACAATCCACGTCACACCATACGGAAGCAGATTTAACCGCCGACAATATACAAGTTTGTCTAAACACTATATAACATGTACGATTTCATTCACTCTTATAAAATTACACTTGTTTGATCTCATTGACTTGGACGTTATCAAAGACCAACACTACCGTATTAAAAGAAAATCGCATTAACACGTCATCGATTTCTGTTTCACATTGAAATAAATTTTAATAAAATTCAAATTTACAGCTAATGTAACTCAAAATGGATAGATAGAGTTGTACTATATTACAAGAGTTAAGTCGGGATGTTAACAATCTTGATTAAAAGTGCCACCCAAAGTTGATAAAACAGACATCTGATTAGTGATTCTTTACTGAACATGATGCATTATGTTAGATTGTCGGTCTTATTTTAGGAGGCATCATCGTATTATCGTTAACACGTGAACACACATGACAAAAGAGCCGCACACTAGAGTGGTACATATCGCTGGAATTAGTCCTATTTCCGTATCATTTCTACCAGATTTTGCCATTCAATTTTTTCTTATTTTATGCTAAGATACAATAACAATTTGTCACTATTCAACAAATTATTCACCAAAAGAAGTAAACAACCATTGCCATTTAGCAAAAGTTTTGATAATTTGAATGCATGTAGCCATAGAAACATCATCATTATCAACAATGAACTAATCAAGTCCTCACAAAATCATTAATAAACTTAAAATAGATAAAGATATCTATGTTAGTTCAAAAAGTCATGCTTTTCGTTTTCACAGAAAAAATAATATAGATGAACCAAAGAACAAAAATATATGATTTATACATGTTGTCGGTGCAAAGAGCTATTATTAAAAATATTTAACTCACAATTGTTACATCTTTATTAATGTTTTGTATGTAAATATATACTCTATGAAATATATAATCTAAATACAACCGCTACCCTTACATCATTAAAAATATTTAACTTTTACTATAGCTATTAACAAAGTCATATTTATAAATATAGATATAGTAGTTTCGTTGACACAACTTAGTTCATAATTATGTAAATATATCAATTGTAAAAATATTAGTTTGAATTCACAACATATATATATATATATATATATATATATATATATATATATATATATATATATATATATATATATATATATATATATATATATATATATATATATATATATATATATATATATATATATATATATATATATATATATATATATATATATATATATATATATATATATATATATATATATATATATATATATATATATATATATATATATATATATATATATATATATATATATATATATATATATATATATATATATATATATATATATATATATATATATATATATATATATATATATATATATATATATATATATATATATATATATATATATATATATATATATATATATATATATATATATATATATATATATATATATATATATATATATATATATATATATATATATATATATATATATATATATATATATATATATATATATATATATATATATATATATATATATATATATATATATATATATATATATATATATATATATATATATATATATATATATATATATATATATATATATATATATATATATATATATATATATATATATATATATATATATATATATATATATATATATATATATATATATATATATATATATATATATATATATATATATATATATATATATATATATATATATATATATATATATATATATATATATATATATATATATATATATATATATATATATATATATATATATATATATATATATATATATATATATATATATATATATATATATATATATATATATATATATATATATATATATATATATATTATATATATATATATATATATATATATATATATATATATATATATATATATATATATATATATATATATATAATATATATATATATATATATATATATATATATATATATATATATATATATATATATATATATATATATATATATATATATATATATATATATATATATATATATATATATATATATATATATATATATATATATATATATATATATATATATATATATATATATATATATATATATATATATATATATATATATATATATATATATATATATATATATATATATTCATTAATTTTATTTCATTAAATAAAATTGGGTACATGGATAAATTTTTGCCTTAATATTCTGTTTAGAACCATGTTTTTATCTAATTGTTAAGATCGAGATCATTCTTAGTAATTTTTTTATAGTTTTTCTAGGACATCTTTTACCTCTATCAATTTGACTCATCTGTATCTGATCTACTCCCTTTATCATAGAATTTAAAAGTCTTCTCTCACATGTTCAAACTATCGAAATCTATATTCCACCATTTTTTTTATTATAAGTGTTACTTTAATATTCTTTAATATTGTCATTTCTAATCTTATCACATTTAGTTTTATCACGTATCTAACATAATATCCTTATCTCTATTATATTTATTTTATTCTCGTATTGATTCTTAACCGCGTAACATTTTATTTCATACAATATCACAAATCTTATTACAACTTGATTAAATAAATCTTACTGCAGCTTGATTAAATTTTTCCTTCAATTTAAATGATATCTTTCTATCATATAAAATTTCTAAAAACTCACTTCTATTATAAAACTAATTATATTACCAAAAAGAAACAAACTAACAATGTATATTTTATTGGATAAGAACCTCTTTTAATAAAACCCAAGTACCCTATAAATCCTATTAAAATTGGTATACGTAAAAAAGTTAGCTTGTGGGACATTGTAGTACAAACTTTTTTTTAGGCAAACCTAACTATAAACATAGAAATTGAAAAGTGTTTTGAATATGAATTTAAATAGAGGTGGTTAAACGCACCGAGTCAATAGGACATATCTCCGTTTCACTCACATTTTAGTGCGGAATTTATCAATAATCTAGATCTTGCTTTCTAATGTATCCATTCCGTTTCGTTTTTTTTTTCTCAAAATTTTGTGAATACAAGCATTAATATATATTTTTACACTTAAAAGATACAGTGTCCATAAATCTAAATCTGCTCTGTCCCGCCCTCGCTTTTTGTGCGATGCAGACTAAAATTTTATATCTGCAACCTCAACTATATCTACTCCACCCTATCTTATTTATTTTTCAAACTTTTGCAAGAACCTCAACTATATCTACTCCACCCTATCTTATTTATTTTTCAAACTTTTGCAAGAATGACGTTTAACTACGAGGGAAAAAAAACTATTATACAGGGGAGATTTTAGAAAAATTGTGCTAAGTTGTTCAATTGTCTATAAGACTCGAAATAATTGAGATTATATAGACTTTTTTAATATAAAACACCTAAAAAATTGGAATTTATATAAATTTAAAAGTGATTTTGATGCTCACAGTTTTGATGGTTTTAATATACCTTAATTCTTTTTCCCATATATTTAGTTTCTTTTTTCTATAAAAATCAGATATCGCAAAAACTAATCCTTCAAATTGAAAGGAGTATAATAAGCAGTAAAATTCTCTAAAAAAAAATTTAACACTGCTACGTACGTATGGATAAGTTTAAACTTTAAGACCTCTGATTAAGCAAGTCGGAAGATATTTTTTACCATGTCATCTAAATGGGCTTTGATCAACTGAGCTGGTTATCATAATCATTGCTCTTTTTTCACTCAATTACTCCTTATTCAAAACTAATAATACACACAAAAAAAACTATCAAAATAGTAGGCAGCATTTATCATTTCAAAAAAGAAAGAAAAAACTGAACAAAATTTAAGGATGAAACCAAGTTCGCTCAATTGAATGGATGCAAATAAAAAAGCAATTAAACTTAAAAAGTTGATCAAGTTTAATTAAGTTACGAAAAACATATTAAACAAGCAACGCACACTCCTATACCTACATCCTTTTCATTTCATTAAATGCATATTAAAGGTATATAAATATAATGAAAAATGGAACTAACATGTAACCAAGGAACAAAAAGGACTACAAACTACCATACCCAACCTTTGTCACAAAAACATTACGGATTCGGTTCAGTCGTTTTCCAAACCACACAAAGTGTCTCAAAACTTGTCAGATGAAAAGTAAAGTGCTTAATATATAAGAGTGTAGACCGTATCAAGTTGTGCAGTATAATCCACTACCAAGAACCTCATCCTCAATATTAATAACACTACAGCTGAAAAAAACATGGCATGCATGTGGCGCAAGAATGCCGGCAGTGGGAAGAAACCGCCATCAGATGTGCCGAGAGGTCACTTGGCTGTGACAGTAGGAGAGGCGAACAGGAGGTTTGTGATAAGAACTGACTACCTGAATCATCCGGTGCTTCAACAACTGCTAGACCAAGCATATGAAGGATATGGATTTAACAAGAGTGGTCCTCTGGCTATACCTTGTGATGAGTTCCTATTTGAAGATATTCTTCATTCACTTGGAGGAGGGACGCACACGCGCCGATCCTCTTCACATGTGCTTACAAAAAAGCTAGATTTGTGCTTTTCCAAAGACTCAGTACCACTGCTTGAATCTTTTGACAGCAAAAGGAGCAATAACTACAAGCATTAACAGTAACCGAAGAGAACAGTTTTCTCCTTCACTGTCCTCGGTCGTTTACATTCACTATTGTCCAAGTGTAGTTCTTAACAGCCATGTTACATTTCCAAAATGATGTCATGTCAGATTGTCCAGATGCAATATCTGCTACCTACGTATCTACCTACCTCTTTTTCTTCTGTAGATTAATTTCTGCGCTCGTGTGTGTAGCGTGTGTAATTCCTATTCTTCTGTAGATTAATTTCTGCGCTCGTGTGTGTAGCGTGTGTAATTCCCATGTACCTGAATATGTAATGATGCATGTATCTATTTTTATTTTTAACTGATATGCTATATGACAGTCTCTGATGATGCATTAATACAACTAAGTTATGGTTTGAAGCAGTAGAATGATATCTTTAGACCGAAAAAAGAAGAGAGATAAATTCTAAGTATTTGAACATTAAAAAGCAAGCAGGGCCATAAGTTGTTTTAAGGATAATAAACATTAAGAAGTCAACAGCCGACTATATCCCAAGAGTTCAATTTGATTTTTAATTTCAATCAAATTAAGTTGCAACCAGTCAGCCAACCACATTCAATTTTGAAATATAAGATATGACAGATTATGCAAGTATCAAATCCTCTAGCAGGGAGTTCACAAAACTCAAAGCCACATAGGAAAACATTACATACTTTTAATTTAATTATAATTCTGGTTGAACCTAACTCAACCTTATAAACCAGTTTGTAAAGTGAGAATTGTCTCCACTAATAATATGACAATCAATGTAGGACTTTTAACACACACCAACACTATTGAGTTTGGTGTGCATGGATATAAATAAACATATATTCAAACTATTTCACATTTGATGTGGGACTCTTAACACCTATGTAGCACCGACATGTCTTAAAAAAGGTGTGTTTGTGTCCGTGTGGGAATCAAACACCTGTACCGACACTTGTCAGTATTGGGGTCGTATTCGGGGTGTCCGTGCTTCATAGCTTAACACTCCCTCACGCCCAACACTACTGGATTTGGTGTGTGGATATAAATGATGGGTAGTCAGATAGCGGAATCTTGATTACAGGTAGTCTAACGGAGCTTAGATAGACTCTGATGTCATCTTAGAATTATGGTTGAGTCTAACTCAACTTTATAAAATCAGCTTGTAAGGTGAAAATTGTCACCACTTATAAACATATTTCAGGACATATCATACTTGACATGGGACTAACAAATACATACCATAGAGCTTTGAGAAATCCTCGTGTATTTGCATTAAACTTCCCAAATTGAAGATGAGTGTTGTTCACCTCATAAACTTGACATACGTAACTTGCTTATAAACATATTTCAGGACATATCATACTTGACATGGGACTAACATATACATACCATAGAGCTTTGAGAAATCCTCGTGTATTTGCATTAAACTTCCCAAATTGAAGATGAGTGTTGTTCACCTCATAAACTTGACATACGTAACTTGCCACAGTCAGCACAGAATAAATACTCCCAGTCCCAGCAGTCTCAGATATAAGCAAAAGTTGGTTGGACCAAAAACATCAAGTTTTTACCAACTTTTTGCTTTATCTTTGAGACTGGAAGAAGTATTTCATAACAATGTGATAAGTATTGAAACACTTGGAGAACCTTTCTTTGAAAGCTAGTATAAAGGGGAAAGAACCATGTCACTTAAATACTCTACTCAGCATCTCATACAAATCGAAATGGGACTTGGAGTTGGATATCTCATAATACCTAAGTTCTACCATAGCACCTCCCTTGAGTTAACACTCCGTTGCACTCTAAGTTGCTTTACTCGGCATTCTGTAGATAGCCTCTTTTGAGCTAGCAGCAACCAGCTTTGGTACCAATAGATAAGTATTTGTGCACTTGGAAACCTTCCCTTCAAAGTTAGCTATCAAAGGGGAAAAAACTAGCTCTACTTATATACTTCATAGAGCATCTCATCCCATACTACTAAACAAGGGATTTGGGAACCCCATAATACCCAAATCCCTATCACAATGCTCCTGAATGAAAGTGAAAATCCGGCACCTACACTCTTCAAGCTTGCATACGCAGAGCTCTGTAACTAACAAAATGATAAAGGAAAGAAAGCAATAACTTTTAGAGAGTTGAATTGACTAATGGCAACCCCATTACGCTAAACTGATTTTTCCTTGAAAATTATTAAGAAAACAGACTACCATTACAGGGAAATGGAATAGAAATATGTGCATACTTCTATCGCAAGTTAAATGCTCGGAGTTATGAAGTTTCACTTTTCATAGTCTTAGCTATGATATTAGGAGGCTTCATCTCAGTAAACAATCTACTAAAAATATGAAAATTTAGCAAACTCCATATATTTGTAACAATGTCATTGGACAACATACAAATTGCTTCCTTTGCAGCTCTACGACGAGCTTCAAGAAGTGTTGTATCTGTGAAAAGCTCTATTAGAGATTTTTCTAGCTCCTGTTTTCCAGAAACCTACAAGCGACAAAAGATAACAGTTTAAGAAGAATTGTTTCATGGTGTTGAGCAATTTCGATTAGCAAATGAGACATCTTTCCCACCTGAAGAACTGACAGAGGATTTGTTTGTTTCATTTCTAGTACCATGTGGGAGAAATGGCCAACATGGCGACCTGAAATCAATTGAGTTTCAGCCACTAAAATACTGTGTTAGATTTATAAGAACTACAAAAAAGGGTCAAATCTTGCACCTGTCAGAATAGCACAGCCAGCTGCTGCAGCTTCTGAGATATTATGACCACACAAACCAGGGAGGAATGAACCCCCAATCACAGCTATTGGTGTTAATGTGTACAACTGTCTTAATTCACCTGTTAAACAAGTTGGGCGACAGTATATATCATGCTTGATATCCCTAATAAAAAAGACAATTTCATCTACCATACTACGTCAAATTCAACGTAAAACATGAGTAAAACATGCTGTTGGCAACCACAGACATTCAAACTCTCTTACTCTAGAAATCATGAGGCCTATGTTCCCAGCAGTACATAAGGATTTTTATGCATGAGACCGTTTTAATTTCATGTCACTGAAAAGAAAAGAATATTTACCCAAAGTGTCCACCACATAAATATTTGTTTCTGGCTTTAACCTCCCGTGTTGTGACCTGAGAGCTACATTATGTCCTTCTTTCTCCAATTTCTGCACTACACCAAGAAAAAACATAAGGAGTTCCAGAGGCGATAAAAGAATAGGTCATCAAAAAAAGGAGTGATTTTTGCATGAGCATCAGTTCTGTTGTATGCAAATGACTAGAGAAGATTTACAGATAATACAAGTGTATCAATTCCAAACACAGTGATTTAAAAAATAATTCCTTGGAATTTTCATTTCATACATGGACAATAGTGAAGTCTTATTTTATCAGTGAAAATATGAAAAAAAGGACCCTTATATTATGTTGAGAGTACTAGAGAGCTCATAAACAGCTAACAGAAGTCTGTATTGGGAGGAGAGAACAAGACATAAAAGCAGTTATAACAAACAAGTTTTAAAGGGAAAAGATATAATCAAAAACTGACTTTGGCAATCTCTCGTCCATGCTGTGGATGCCGAGGAACAATAATAGTCACAATATCAGTTTGCAGCTGCATAAGGACAGTGTGAACTCCTAATATTACTGTGGAGAAGCAAAATGAGAGTAAGGAGATGTGTATTCTTAAGAGGAGATGGCAGATAAAATGTAAGAAACATGTAACACCTTTCCTGCCTTCAGAGTAAACATACAACCTGATATAATGACTAATTTGACAAACAAGTGCAAATTATTTCAAAGAAACTCTAAGGACAATCAAACCACAAATGTGACGTCAATTTTTCTAAATCAAGAATGTCTCTCTCAATGTTTATATCAATCAAAATAATCAGGTATTTCAACGGACTCGAAGGAACAAACATGTGTTTAGAGCATAATGATGGAGGTATAGATGAAGAATGTACTAACTTTCTTCTTCTCCCCTATGAATGGAAGAAGCCATCCAAACCTGCTTGTGAGAAAGTTGTAGTCTTAAATTATTTGTATTTCTTTTGCCACTTTCATTGACTGCAATGTCTTCAATTACTGAATGAAGAGAATGATAAGACTGGATTAGTACAAACAATTTTATCACTTTGAGGGGGGAAAATCAACAATCCAAGAAAAAATATGATAGTAATCATTTGCAACTAGTTGTGCTTGAAAAGTTGAAATTTCAATAAAGCAATCAAGAGAAAAAAACACACAAGAATGTCAAATACATTCAATTTAAGTGATTTTGAATAAAGAACTTTATGACGTACCATACTTTAGATCACCAGAGAAGTTTATGATATAAGGAGGGGCTTGCAGAAGCTGAAACCGGAGACCCTGCTCTGTACTCTATGCAATCAAAACGTTCAATAACAGCATAATAAACATATGAATTACAGCAAATGTAAAATAACTAGCATGGTACATACCAATGGAACAATCAAGGAAAACTTGGATAACATCAATGAAATCAACGGAAGAAACAATGATCCTGACCAAAGATTAAAGGATTTTTCAGAAACCCGAGCATTTAACAGTGCCAGTGTTATCTACAAGAGTAAAATAGGTTATATCATGTAAGATTTGGTGAAACAAAATGACACAGATAACACGATGTGCATGATATTTGCACAAGTGAAGCAGATGAATGAACAACAAATAAAATTGATCTTCTCTTTTGCTCCTAACTAAGAAAAATGATATTGACTGCTGTTTAGCTATCACTGTATTCAGTTTGGTATCACTTATCAGTTCCAATTCTAGAAAGCATGAATAAAACATTCAACTATTTTCCTCTCCCATATCATTAAGTGCTCATAATAAGATTTGACTTACACCATTTTTGGAAGCATCCATTATAAGATTTGGCCAAAGTTCACTTTCCATGAGTACAATCGCATTTGGTTTCCAGTAATGAAGGAAAGAACTGATGGAAGCAGGGGTATCAACAGGCGAAAACTGAAAATTTGCA